AAATGAAAATTCTTTTTCTCAGTGTTATCATTCAAATACAGATCATTTTGATTTCTTTTCTGTGATACAAATTTTGTTTCAATTCTAATTCTATGCTGACAGGAAAGCAGCTACTTATTTCTCTATATACTGCACTACCCTGCCCCCATTTCTCCCACAGCAGAAGGATCACTGAAAGCAAAAAACTAATAGGTTCTACTTGCATTTAAAAGTCCACAACAATATACAACAGTCAGTTGCATAATTCTGCCATTACTTCTCAAAGAGCTATATAAATACATAGTACCTTAAATTAAGGCCTGGTTATATATACTAAAATGGACTTCAAGAACCTATTCATCCATCTTGCCTTTTAATACTTAATACAATATAACTCTAAGTTCAACAAAAGCATACTATTAGTTTGAGTTCCTCTAAAAACTCTTTGTTAACTAATCTCATCTGCAGTTAATTACTGCAACAAATAAATGTAACTTGGTTTCCTGACTTTTTAAATAGCCCCATTATAGTATAAATAGAGGGTAAGGAGAAGAATTTATCACATTATATATATAAAACAAACCCTACTTTTCACCTCACAGGCACTAAATTATTTATGACTTCAATAAAGTAAAATTTTTGTTTAATAAAGTTCTTTACATTGCAATCTACATTTAAAATTCTTCCTATTTTTCAGCATGTCCTTATAAAATTATGAACAATAAAAAGCAGCAATTCTAAATCATGCAAATCAGTTAGTAAGCAACTGCTTCAAATTTCAATTTTATAAACTTTGCATTCATATACCAAGTGACATGTACCCATAAAACTATGGAGACTGGGGTATATTTTACTATTTTTCAGCAATAACATTTTTCTTCACAAGTGCTATAACTTAAAATTTACACTGGATCTTTAAGATTTTTTCATAAGAAGCCCCCATTTTTTAACTTAAGTGGGAAAATAGTGTTTGTATTTGCATCACATAAGAATTAAAGAAAAATGAAAAAATTACATCAGAAATAAAGACAAACTAAATGCAAGAGTATACAGATCCCACAAAAAAAATATGGAACAAAGTGGAGGGAATTTTTAATAAACAAGGAAAAAAAAAGGATTTGTGAACAAATGAAACAGAAGTTAGGCAAAGAAGGTCCAACACACACTCATAATTGGAGCTCCCCCACCCCCCAGAAACCTATATAATGATACAGGGCAAATACTGAAAACTTTTCTGAAATAAAAGAGGGCTATTATTTAATGCCATATATAAATGTTAACAAGACATAATCAAGTACTGGTACTTAAAAAAAGAAAAGAAAAATCTTTTCACAGCATGTAAGCAGAACACCAAGTTTCATGTAAGGGGTAAAAAAGGCACAAGAATTTGACAATAACAATGCATGTCCAAGTCCGCAGAGCTCACAAGAAAATGTAAGCCATGGGTTTTATACCCAAAGAAACCTTCAAATATAATGGATATAATGTTCAAAAACAAGTATGTTATAAACCAGAAGGGACTTAAATAATATTGTCCCCATGAGCTCTCCAGTAAAGAAAGAGCTTCAGACAATCAAAATACCCTACGAGAAGCTTTGCAGTAAGATCTGGTGGTGATTGTTGAACATACTGAATTTAGAACTAACACCAAATGATGAGGTAACAGAGTTCTGTATAGACATACAATAAGAAAATGGAGACGGGCGAGTTACCAAAAAAGGAATGAACTATCGATACACTGGACTACCTAAAATGAATCTCAAATGTGTCACACCAAGTGAAAAAAACATACTCAAAAGGTTATATTTATATGACATTCTAGTTTGAAAAGGAAAAATTACAGGAAAAGAAAACAAGTAAGTAGTTGCCACGAGTTAGGGGTAGAAGGAGGATTTGATTATTAAGGGGCAACAAGAGAGACTTTTGAGAGGTAAGGAACTATTCCATATCCTAACTATGGTGGTTACTAAATGATTATATTTCATTTGTCAAAACTCACAGAACTATACATGCCACCCTCCAAATGTGAATTTTTGCATTTAAATAGTAAGTTTTCAATACCAAAAACATAGATACCAGGGAAGAGGGAGGGAAGGGAAGGTGAAGAGGTTACTAGCTAATTCCATTACTGCTCACGACAGAGAGTAATTTAAGAGGGGACTGCAAGGTGTTAGTACAAAAGTAACTTTCTAAATGTTAAAACATACTAACCCCGAATACAGCAATGAAAATAAATCACATTATTAAAAAAAATTCAAAAGTGTCAAAAATGTTTCAAGTTTCTTCCATCTTCAGTTAAGCACTTCCCTTATCTAGAAAATCACCAGTTATCTATATGTTCAGAGTTTTCTGTGGTATTATATACTTATATTTTCAAAAGGAAGTAATAGAAAGATAAACCAAGAACTACATGATTCCATTTATAAACTATTGCAGTAACGGCAAAACCATATAAACAGAAGACCACTCAGTGGTTGCCAGGGGCTGGAGATGGGGAACAACTGTCTACAAAGTGGTATGGAGGAATTTGGGAAGGAATTTGTGTGATGAAACTGTTCTACATACTGACTGTGGTGGTAGTTACATGAATGTACACATCTGCCAAAACTGAGACCCACATGCTAAAAATGATGTTACTGTATGTAAAATATACCTAATTTTTATAATGGGGTAAAAAAGAATGAGGGATCCTGTCAACAAAGAGATAAGACTGAAAAATTAGAAAGGAGTTAGAAAACAAATCTTCAATGAAGGACCCTGCTAAGAAGCTGTAATCATAGAACTAGCTCAAACTGGCCCTATCAGGTTTCCCACCAAGATACTGAGTTTTCAGAGACAAAAGAAAAAAACCTCAAGTCATGCAGGGGAAGCATGCTACGGGGAGAATTTTGACTTCCTACTACACCTGGAAATAAAGTCCATCCCCTCCCACCCCATATCCCACCAAAAGACCAGGGCATAACTGAACCTTTCAGAAATGAAGTCTCTGTTGTCCAGAAGATCTGGTGCTGAAGCCCCTACCTTACCTTACCATAAACAACCAAGTTCTAAAGCCCTCCTACAGAAACCTGCCCTGCCAGCCCTTAGGCATAACAGTCTGTTCCCTTTAACCTCTTAAATGTCATCCCTAACCCTGGATGAGGGAAACAGATTTGAGCTCTGCCTCCTGTCTCCTGGCCAGTTGACTACTCAATAAAGCTTTTTTCTTCTCTCAAAATCTGGTGCCATACTTTTGGCTTCTATCTGTGTCAGGGAGTGAGCCCTTGCTCAGTAACAAAGTTTTAGATTTTATTCTCAAAGCAGCAGGTGTACTAAATGATCTCAAGAAGGGTACAGTCACAATTCAGTTCTGTATCTAAAAGACCACCAACAACAGTTATAAAAGGGACTAAGAAGAAATCAGGGAGCAACTGGGAGACCAATGAACCAACCACCTTAGTAAATTAGGGGAAAATTACCAAGCCCTGACCAAGGCAGAAGCTGTAGGGAAGGATAAAGCAAAAGCAGGAAATTTCTCAAGTTTCTAGCACTACTGAAACAAGTAACCAAGCTAGTACTGAGAAACAGATTTTAGACAAACTACTACTAATGCCAGTGGGATATTCAAAAGCAAACATGTGGTTAGACATATTGGTCTGGAGGCCAGGGGAATAGCCTGAGAAGCAGTTTAGATTTGAGATTGATTCATCAAAGTATTTGCAGTCATGAAAATATAAGGTCAAGATCATACAAAGGTAGAATATGTGGAATGAAAAGTAAAAAAGAACCCTGGGAACCATCCTGCACAACACCAGCATTATGGGGTTGAAGATATATTGGAGTATAAAAAGAAATGGCTTACTGAGTATGCAGCAGTAGAGTTAGAAATGATTACAATCATCTGCCTATTTCAATCTGGGTCTCCAACCACTTTATCCTTGACTTCTCTGATTTTATCTTTGGCTTGATCACCCTGGGAAAACTGAGGCAGTTAAATAAAGTTATCATTGAATTCCAAGTTTTCACTTTCTATTGTTGACATGTGAGATTACTCAGCAAATAAAGAAGAATAAATTACTGAATACACTTATTTTGTAAATTAAACACAGAAGAAACAGTAGGAGGGATTAAACGATTCACTTCAAATATGGATCAACTTACTGCAACACAGAGCCTAAGAAATTTATCTTGGTTGCTGAACAAATGCCTCTGTCGATGCTTTAAAGGATCTCTGATACCACACTGAAGTTATCAGAAAATACCATAGAAAAATACAATGGTTATTTTGTTCTTAACCAGAGATATGTACCAATATTCCCCAAGGAGCTTTCCTACAATGCTTATCTTGCCCAAACTCTCTTTCTAAAAAAAATACTGATTTAGGAATGTTCAGCGTGAGGCCCAACTACTGTATTTTTCATAATCACATACATAATTCTGATGTACGCAAGCATACAGGCACATGCCTGCGCGCGCACACGCACACACACACACACACACCAATTCCAAGCTGTAAAGCAGTGATATAAAACCTGGTTCCAGGATCTACACGGAGTTCTAATTGGAAGTTTCTAAACCACATCCTAATCCCTCAGAATTGCCTCCAAATAAGAGGATACAAATATACATTTCCCTGATGTAAGCCTGAATTCCTAAGCCCCAACTCCTATAAAATGCCAAGAATTTTTTGGCTTTGGTAAAAGCTTTAAGATTTAACTTTTCGCCAGAATTCAGAAAAATACAGTGTAAGAAAAGGTGTGAAAAATGAGTCCCTATCTCTTTATTATTTAATTTCAACTCCAATTTGTCCATTTTAATGACAAACTACTAGAAAAATTTGGTTAATTTCACCAATTCAAGTGTTAGTTTCAACTACAATCTAACCAAAATCAGATCTAACCTGCTATACTGAAATATTCAGATTCCACTTCCAATTAGAAAAATTTCCAAGATTCCTATTATTACATCATAGACATTATGAATTAAAACAAAAATGATTACTCAAGAATAGCAAAAACTTTTCCACCACAATTCACACTTACCCATCTCTTCCCTTACTGACAATTTTTACTTCAAAATAATAAATCCCACAGGCTGCTGGTATTGGATGTGTGGCACGAACTGATGCTGCATCTTTTGGGGTTTTGCCATGACCTGCATACAAAACAGAAAGGAAAAAAATCAAATGAGATATTCAAATGAGAATCTAAACAATTCAGGAACAAATGTAATTTATAGAATAATGTATACATTTCTGGTCCCATCAGCACAAATCATTAAACACTCAATGATGATCACAATTAATCCAATATGCAAAATAGCCCAAGTTAGCCACGGAACTCTTCACACATTATTAATTTTAATAAAATTTCAGAATCTAAATATACTGAACCTAGCAGTCCTTTATGAAAATTAAAGTATTTTAGGGAAGACTGTTATTTTTAAGAGAAAAAAGGCTGAATTTGAAGAACGTAATATAATCTTAATTTTATTAATATAAATTTGCATATCATTTATACAATTTCTAAACAGCCCTGATATGTGTGGCTCATCGGATTGAGCGCCAGCCTGCGAACCAAAGAGTCGGAAGTTTGACTCCGACTCTTATCAGGGTACATGCCTGGACTGCGGGCATGTGAGAGGCAGCCACACACTGACATTTCTTTCCCTCTTTCTTCCTCCCTACCCTTCTCTCTAAAAATAAATAAGTATTTTTTAAAATAATTTTTAAACAACACTATTTTGCCAAATGGCTTTTTTTAACTGAGAAGCATCTATGTCACATAGTATATTTTTAAGTGAAATTTTATACAATTAGAATGAGTTGGCAAAAGAACTTTATGACTTTAAGAATTTACAATTTTCTTCTTTTAATTCTATACAAAGACATATTTATAAAAATTTCCTTGGTCAATTACAGCCTGAGAAATAGCTAACCTCTAGTTGTATTTTCTCTCTTTGTTAAAGAAAGAAATATAACACCACACCATTGCTGACATCTTTGGAAAATCCTTTAGCTAGTGGCTTTTAAACTTCTCAAATTAGCTAGTCCTCATTTTAACCCCAAAGGGTTTCCTTCACTCACAGTCCCTTCCCCTGTCCCTCGTTCAAGACACAAATTACCTTGAAAGCTAGCATGTGAACAAGAGTAAGTAAGCAAGAGAAAATATACCTATAAAATCAAAGAAGAATAGCTGGTTAAAAAGTACTCAAAGAGAGTGAGTGAGACAAGTTTCCACAATCCCCAAAGGTCTGGATGAGAAACAATAGTTTAAATCACTATTCAGGTGTTCTAGTTAATACGCTGTACCCAATACAATCTTATGTCATTAACCTTTCGGTCATACAGTAACAATACATTCATAGGGAGAATTCCCCTCCTCAAATTTACTGATTGTTTAAAACAAAAAAACCTTAAGTCACAAATTATATCTTAGCCACACAATAACCATCACAAAGCAATAAGATCATATCTTTCCTTACCATACACTTTACCAAATTATCAATGCATACCCTATCATTAAACAGTTGAGTTTACACTTGTAATGCAAACTAGCCTACATTTACTTGGTCCAAAAGAAATTGCTGAACTCAATCACTCCTATTACCAGGAAAACTTGTGTCCATAGATCTCTTATGTATGTGTTATGAACAGAAGTGACCACTGGGCGGTGATAAACTTGGCTAAGAAGATAAAAATGGAAGCAGCAACATACAAACACCCATAACACTGCTTTAACACATTTAGGAAATAGATTTACACTGAACTAAGCAGGAAAAAAATAATAGCACAAATCTGCAGGATGACACCAATAACTTTTTGAAAATAGATATTTAATAAGTTATGGTTTTAGCAAAATATTTTTCAGTAAAAATGTTAAAATAATTGATTAGCCTGGGAAAAGGTCATGTAAATTAAATGTATTTAAAATTTTTAGACAGCTAAAAATAAATCCAAAGAAAAATCTAATTAATCCTGGAGTCCTAAATCAACTAGCTTTTGTATTTGGTTTTTGTTTTTTTTGTTAGGAAAGTGACCAAACTTTTAGGAATAAGGTAATCTCAAGATGTACTTAAATAACAGCAATAAATGGTAATAGTTAACATACATTTAATACTATGTAAAAGGCACTGTTCTAAGAGCATTACATTTATTAACTTATTCAAAACAACTTACGAAGTAGTTATCATTTATTTCACAATTGAGGAAATTAAGCAAAAATAAAGCAGCTCAAGGTCATACTAATGTGTAAGAATTCCAAACCAGTATTTGTGCTGGGATTTAAATGCAAGAAGCCTGATCCAGTGCAGCTCTGTACCCACAGGAAGGATTTAGTTACAATGAGCATTCTGGGATCGCTTCACATGTATTCCCATCTCCTATCCTTGCTCCTTCTTTGGGAAAAGAGAAAGAAAATATTTAGATTACACAATTTCTCAAAGAATTAGGTGCTTTTGTACAGATTTTCCTCATTCAACATCTGTGAAATAGGTATTATTTAACCTCGTTTTTTTAAATGGTAAAATTCCTACTTAGGCTATATAACTATCCAAATTAGTAGACTCGTGTTAAATCCATGTATGAATTAAAATCCTCTACATTTTTCTATTATGTAAAAATAACAGAAAACTACAGTCATAAATCTTCAAAATTCCTTTATATTCATTATGCTCTTACTAAGCCATTGTAGAAAAATTCTGTAAATGTTAAAAGAATGTTTCATTTTTAAATTAAATTTATATTTAAAGACAGGAAAAAGTTCAGATGTAAAAGTTTTCATATACTTCTTAGGTGAGACTAGTATTATGAGACGGAAGGGCCTATTTCTAATAATGTTCATCAGCAGGAATTTTATTACCTTAAATTCTGTGATAACCAAACTACAACCTCATACTACCAAAGTGTAAACTTTTAAAAACACAAAATCTTCAATACTGAGTGTTTTCTACATGGTTCAAGAAGAAAATACATTTACTGCCTCAAAACTCATAGGCTAGCAAGGTTAGCTCATTCTACTCAAACAATCTGTTGACTGCATTTCGCTGAAAAAGGAAAGAGTCTGAAAGAGCCACTCCATCCCCCTCCGTTCTCCAACATGCTGCCAAGTGCCTTTCTGGAAATATAAACAGCCTTGCTTGTGCCATTACCCCTCAGAACAACTAACATTCCTTCTAAAAAATCCTCCCATTCAGCCTAGGAAAAAGATAAACTTCCTGAAAATCTTGTTTGATCTCACCCTCCCCCTGCATTTTCTACCTCCCTTCTTTCAGCTCCAACCACATTCACCAGGCCTGTCTTTGCTCCATGCAATTCCTTGGGGCAAAGCTCCGGAAAGCTCTGCCCCTTCCTTGTCAGCCTAGTTAGGTCCCACTCATCATTTAGATCTCAGCTCAAGCCTTACTTCCTCAATTATCCTTTCTCTAACCTCTGACTTGGCCTAACCTTTTTTATATGCCATCATAGTGACACACATCTCTCCCACACAGCATTAACACACTTAACACTCATTTGTGATTATTTTACTGTTTTTTTTTTAATTTTAATTCTCACACATTTTTGCATTTTAATTTCTACTAACATCCACCCTAACTTCAGTCATTCCTTCCTGGAGCCACACTCTGATCTCCTGAAACTATTCCACCTCAAAAATATTAAATTCTCATAAAATCTGTTCTGCTACAAAACATATTTCTTGAATACAAATGAGCTGGTATGCACTTGGTAAATATAGGAATGATGTCAACATAATAAAGAAGTCATCTAGTTTGTAACACAGTTTTCCCCAGTACATTAATGAATTAAAGAGAAAAGTTTAGCAATATACAAAGGTCCTAAGTCAATGAAGACTGGGATTCCTACATATAAAGCCATCTGGGAAAATTCAAGTGCAGTACAGATCAAAAAGTGCTAACATATTTCCTCTTTGATTATATCTGCATGGGTTCATATATCTCATGCATATTTATTTTATACTTTGGGTTATAATTTAGTATTATTGGGTTGGCTCAAAAGTCTGTTGTTTTTTCTGTACGATGACTCTACTAATGCTTAGCTGTCTTTAACTTCATGCAAAACAATTTTGTTGGATTGTATTGTGACAGCTGCTGTCATGTCGGTGTGCATTAAAAAAAAACAAACAACTTACCAAAACTGGTGATTTTTTGTGCAGCCATTTTAATATTGAAGATGGAAGAAAATAAGCAACATTTCTGGTGTATCATGCTTTATTATTTTAAGAAAGGTAAAAATGCAACTAAAATGTAAAAAAAGATTTGTGCAGTGAATGGAGAAGGTGCTGTGACTGATTGGATACGTCAAAAAATAGTCTGCAAAGTTTCTTGGTACTACTGACATTTTGGCCAAATAATTCTTTGCTATGGAGCTGTCTTATGCATTGTAAGATGTTTAGCAGCACCCCTGGCCTCTACCCACTAGAAGCCAATAGTGAGAGATACCTGACATACTCAAGATACCCAAATCGATAGTTATTGGTGAAATGAAAAATGTGTCTTTTACAAAAAAAGCTATTTGGACTTATTTTTCAGTTGGTGCCTCTACCATTCCAACATATTTCCAATTATGTTTTTTTGTTTTTGTTTGTTTCTTTCTGGCACTACAAGATGCTACCATTATTTTCTGCCCCAGTCCTAGAATGAGCGATTTCTCCAAGCAGCCCTGACAAATGGCATTAGAACCCAATCTCTAGGTAGTGTGCTAGTTGTTATGGAGATACTACTACTTTCAGGCCTCCTCATTGACAAGGGCAAGGAAATATATGTTTGTATACCAAACCACTATATATACACATACCTGTATTTCCTTATGTCATTATTTCTGTCGATATTAAACTAAACATGAGTTCCTAGTGGTATCTCCAACTCTAATCCATTATCACATGGATCACTCTAATCTTTCCCTTTGCTTATCTGTACAATTCCACTCCAATGGTAAGAAACCTAGCTTCCATCATCTGCCATCCATTACCTTAATTGCTTAATTCCATTGTAAGTATATAGCAGTATCAGAATTGTTAACTCGTATCCCCACAGAATATGTATGAGTTTATCAACAGGAGTTCAGTGTTTATGTAGTTTCTTTTACCTTTGGTTTTACAGACTCCACTGATTTCCAAAGTTACTTAGGTCAGCACCTT